AACCCCACCAAAATAAATAAACAAAATTAGAATAATCCTTTTTCATCAAAGTTAATATTCTTAAACATGTAGAGCACAACCAGTTCAGTTAAAAATCTATTCTATATTAAAAAAAAAATTGGAAATGGTTACAGATATACACTATAATTAACACCTCTTCACTTTGAATTTTTATGAAAGCAGTACTTATTTAGCTAATTTTAATTATCAATTATTTAAACCTAAGTTAATTGAATATATCATGTGGTGTGATGTATTATAATGTATTTTCTGCCATTATTGTCATTATTTCATATCTGATTTGCAGTGCTGTAATTTCAAAGTAATTTTATGATGATATTCACCGGGGTGGGGGGGTTTCTCAACTTTGATTTAACTTGAAAATATCATTTGAGTCAAACAATCATCTGGTGAACCACTGCAGAGAGCCTTCTGTGATAAATATGTCCTAAATTGGTCATATCTGTGCTTTTATACTAAACTTAGGATTTCTATGATTTACTGCTGTTTTTTTTTTTTTTATTGCACAAATACGTTTTCCCCCTACTATTGTATATACAATATTTTACTTAATTTCTAGAGAACACAAGAAAAAATATGAGCAAAATTATATAGTGCATTTGATTTAAATAATTACAGGTAATACTTGATTTATTATTAAATTACTTAAAAAATAACCTTACATCTACTATCCAGATGTCACTGGTGAATTCAGTAACTTCACAGTTTTTCCTAGATTGGGAAACAAAATCCAGGGAATCGATTTTAACACGTCATATTACACTATACTCTCTGCATGTTTTGTATATTAATTGATTAGCAGAACACCAAATACGCATTATCCATGTTATTGTTGACCTTTGCAGATTAGAGAGTGGAGAACACATCTCTGCTTTTATTTGCATCTTTGTGCGTTAAAAGATGTAGGAGCAAAGGATGATCCATAGCACCCTCAGTTTAATACTTAGCCTCCCTTTAGGACCTGCAGAGAAAAGGAGCCGCCAATCCTAAGCTGTCACATTTTAAATAAGTAAAGGGTTGAAAGGAACAAATGGAACCAAAAAAAACAAGACCTGGATTTAAAAAAGTATCTGTTTATCCTCAGGCTACTATGAAGTACAATTTAAACTAAATCACTTTAAAAAATGACTGAAAGAAAAGTTATTGAAAAACCACCCTGTCTGCAATAAATCAAAACCACATTGATCTACTTGTTGAAAAGTGTAATGGAGTTTAATACATATAAAATACATAATAATGTTTCTAAGGGTCTTCAAATAATAAAGGTTTTCTAGGCAACAGCTTTACATTCTAATGTATTTAAAACTAAGAAGGCAATTGAGACCAGAACTTAGACCCAGCTTTAATCTGTAAGCATTTAAAGCCAAAGAAATGCCTTCATTCAGTCTGACACTGGCTGCTCTATTGGCTCCTCAGTGAAACTGGAGTGAATCTGTGTATTTCCCACTGAGGACAGTCTGGGCCACCTGATAAACGGCTAACTCTGTTGGCATGAAGGTTTCTGTGAAACTGAAAATGATCTTGGATAGAAACTCCCCCTATATCATTTGCTACGCTTAAACCAAAGGGTTCTCAGCATAGTGTGTGTAGGAAAAACAAAAAAAAAGATTAAGGTATTGCCATCTCAAGTTAAAATGAATGAATAAAGCAAGCCTAGATTGCTAATCTTATCATTAGAGATGTCTTGTTAAATGTAAATTATACTGGAATTTGAGCTCTTTTTATATAAAAAATAAAGCTGGTTAAAGCTGGTAGAAGTTACCAATTATCTGGTTAATTGAAGAATAATTAGTGTGTTATATTAGACTTATTTCATATGGTTATTTTTATGTCTGACTATAACAAAAAAATATCCTTATACTGGCTTGTATGCTCCTTTAAAATAGGTTTTAGTTTACAAATAATGTTGAATTATTTCAATGTTTTAAAGTTTTAAATGAGCAACATAAGGAGCTGTTCAGCATTTGGAGAATTGAACTGGACCATAACAAGTCAGCAAGGTTGTATTTGGATTTCCATGACTGGACTTATGGTTCTATGAAGATATTTCTAAGTGTCCTTGAGAAAAGCAGGTAACATTCAACATCTAAGGAAGGGTGGCAGAGAAGAACATCAAATGACACCATAGACATTAATAAATGAGCTCCTGCTCAGATCATTTATCATAAACCTAAAACACACCCATAGGAGCCCAGAAAAAATGCCTTAGATTCAGTTCACAGCAGATTTGAACCCTGTGTCTTTTAAATGAGTTTGTGTTCACGCTGATCCGTGACTGTGCCTACAGATTACAGTGCAGAGTGCAGGATTACAGTGGGTCAGGGGGGACAGACACAGAGAACATAAATAAGAAGATTGCATCCTCTCAAAAGTCAAATCCTCTTTCATTATGGTCATACATGTGCAATCTGATGCATGTATGTCACGCAAGATACAGACCTCTAAGATACAGGGCGACAGTGGCGTTGGATGTAGGAGT